AACACAGACCGTCATCAGAACCAACACAGACCGTCATCAGAACAAACACAGACCTTCATCAGAACAAACACAGACCGTCATCAGAACAAACACAGACCGTCATCAGAACAAACACAGACCGTCATCAGAACAAACACAGACCGTCTTCAGAACAAACACAGACCGTCATCAGAACCAACACAGACCGTCATCAGAACATGTAAAGTCCAGTTGTTTGTGTATTGAACTTTTTTTGAATTCATCATGTCCTGGATGACTGAGAATCTTCACCAGCATATGTAAACTCCACCCAGAAAGGTCCCCACAGCTGGGATTTGAACTGGCGACTGTCTCGCTGAGAGGCAGCAGCTCTACCAACTGAATCACCAGTCCAGAGAAACACTCTTGTCCAAAACTACAAACATTCTGTTGTTCATTTAGGTTCTGTCTGGATCAGGTCTCTCTTGTAAACAAGTCCTCATGGCTCAATGAGACTAACCTGTAGAAATAAAGGTTGAATAAAAAAAAAACACTGTTCAAATCCCTCAGCGGCAGGAGACATCGACGTACCGCTCGTTTTAAAAAGTAATCCACTTTAGTTTTAGCCTCACTCAGACTCACATTTAGTCTGACAGGCCGGTGAAAATCCACCTCTAGTTCTTCAAACTGAAGTCATTCAAAGAGCAATCTACTTCCCTCAGCTGCCCCCATTTTAGAGGTCACCACATCTGACCCTATCCCTAACACCCTCCACTGTTACATAGATAAAAATAGTGTATATATTTTTATATTAATTGTTCATAACATCAAAGTTCATGCTCAATAATCCAGGTAAAAATTCAACAAAGTTAAGTCAGGTCCTCTGGACGGTTTCTTTTTTTTTGTTGAAACGTTTTCCAAAGAACTTCATCAGTCCAAGCAGCCACAACAAACTCAGTCCCATAAGTGGCTTACTCACATAGTGGGCCAACCAGTTTGATGGTGATAAGATTTTTTTCCTCTCCCCCGTTGACTCCTCTGAGGCAGCCATAGCCAAAGTGGTTCAAAGCATCAAAGTTAATCCAGTTACCTGGAGTATCTTATTGAGCATGAACTTTGTTGTTTTGAACCATTTTGGCTATGGCTGCCTCAGAAGAGTCAACGGGGGAGAGGAAAAAATCTTATCACCATCAAACTGGTTGGCCCACTATGTGATTAAGCCACTTATGGGACTGAGTTTGTTGTGGCACCTCGGACTGATGAAGTTCTTTGGATGAATGACAAAACGTTTCAACAAAAAAAAAACTGTCCAGAGGACTTATCTTTGCTGAATTGTTCATAACCTTTCTAAAAGATCTGAACTATCACTTTAAGGACTTTATGTAGTGAATCAGAGTAAGTAGTGACAGCAGGACCAGGTTTGTGAGTCATTTGTGTGTGTATTTTACTCCCCCTCAAGTGTGGTCATTGTTCCGGGGTGACGGTCTGTGTTTGTTCTCATGATGGTCTGTGCTGCTTGATATAAAAATCAGAGTGAATCGTTTGGTTTGGTCTTCTTGAAGACAGAGTCTCACTTAGTTTCTTTCTACTCTCAGGAGTTTGTACCGGGACATCCTCTTCCTCTCCCTCGTGGCTTTAGGAAAAGATAACATTGATATCGGTGAGTCACAAAGTCTTTTTTTTATTTGTCACATTCTGCAGATTTAGTAAAGATTTGGCATTTTCTCTGCAGATTTTTATTTTATTTTAGATTTTTAAAATGATTAGTATGATTAGTAGGTGTGAGTGTTTTGATTGTATTTTAATATCTATCTTTATTGGTAATTAAAGTCCTGATTATACACACTTGACTTTTCCTTAAATTTGCAACTAAACACACACAAAAAATAAACAATTTCTAGAGTAATTTCTGTAATCTGTTTTCACCACATATGAAAGAAACATAAAGATTTTTACCGTAATTTCTGGACTACTGAGCACACCGTAATAGAAGCTGCGCCCACTAAATTTAAAAAGACTAACAATTTTGTACATATATAGGCGGCACTTGTCTATAAGACACGTGTTTATGTTGTAACATGAGGTATTTACACAAAAACATTTTTTTAACTTTTAATTAAATGCATACCGGTAACTCACAAATACGTACAGTAAATGATTTTCTCTGAACAGTGACTGTTACTCGGTTGGTTAAAAAAATAAATAAATACAGTAGCCTAACAGGATGTCATTGATGGCGATCTTCTTCTTCCTCCTGTGCACTAAAACCACTAAAGTCGTCTTCTTCAGTGTCAGAATTGAACGGCCTCAGAAAAACGTCATCACACACGTCCTCAGTCTCTTTCACTGTCGCTCTCAATGTCACTTTCATCTCGAGGCAAGTTCGTGATTTGATTTAATTTACGATTCACACATTTCAAGTGGCTGCAAATACTTCGTTGTGTATAATGAGGGGGGGAACTCCTGCAGGGAGTGGGAGGGGAGGAGAGACAGTGGAGGAGGGAAATGAAGTTTCCCTCCATCCACAGTGGACCAATGAAACCGTTTCATTGGTCCACTGTGACTGTTTAGTAATTTCATTGCTCAGATGTTTTTTTAACCTTCATTTATAAAGGTAGTCTCATTTCCCCCTTTTCCATTAGTACCTTTAGTACCGGTGCAGCACGGTTCAGCTCGGGTCAGTACGGTACACGTTGTGTTTCCATTATGCTCTCAGTACTGGTTCCAGTGGACGGGGTTCAAATTGACGTCACCACCTCTCACCAGCTGGTGGCAGAGAGACGCTGAAACAGGTTTCAGTACAGGGTGAGAATTTATTTTGAAGTTTCTGGTAAATTATAAAGA